CCTCCTCTCCCTCCCCCGTCACAGACCAGTATGCTGTGGGATGACCAGTATGCTGTGGGATGACGCGACGCGCCTCGTGGCTGCGTGACGCCCCCCAGCGTCTGGCCTGTGACACCTCCCCCACCCCAACACCCTCCCCACCTCCCACATGCAAGTCTTGAGTTTTGCTGTGATGTTTTATCATGTTGCTGATGTGCTGAGGTGTTTTTTTTCCTATTCCCACACTGTGCTCCCCCCAGAGGAGCCCAGTTTGGGAATTGACTTTTGTTCCCCCTCATTTCTTTCCTCTTGTTTTCCTTTTCCTCTAATTGATAAAGGGCGCTGGCTTAGCTGGCAGTCCCGACAGTTCCTGTCTCCCCCAGTTATTGTCTTTTTGTTTCTTGGACAGATGTAACTGTGAATGGAATTTCTCTGTAAGGGATTGATAAAGTACTATTGATTGAAATTCTAAGTTTGTCTGTGTTTGTTTTCAGGGCCGTGTACCAGGAGGCAGACATCTACCTCCTGGACGACCCTTTAAGTGCCGTGGATGCAGAAGTTGGAAAACATCTTTTTGAACAGTGAGTGACGAACAGTTTTGTCCAGTCGGCGTGTCCTCAATCCATCCACATACCAACTCCATCGAGTGATTGTTCTTGGATACTGTTCTATCAATTTTAAGTCTCCTCGTATTTCTGAATATGTGATGTCCGTCTGTGTTCATGACCAGGTGTATCTGTGGCCTGCTGAAGAACAAGTGTCGTATCCTGGTCACGCACCAGCTGCAGTACCTGAGGGCAGCAGACCACATTCTGGTCCTTAAGGAGGTTTGTGGTCTTTTACAAGAAAATGACTGAATGAAGCCTGCCACTGCTTCTTGAGCCAAAGATATTGTTACTAGATCCCAAATACAGACGACAGGACGCTGTGTTTAAGGTCCTTTTTGAGGACAAATCATTTTCTGTAGCAGCATCCTCTCCCCGTTTTAGCCATAAAGTATTCCTGCAGCAAAATCCAAAGTAGTAGCTGAGGGTTTGCAGCTTAGTGGCCCTACAAGTCACCAGCTACCACTATGTGGTGGTGTCTGTGTCTGAGGGCAGGTGGTCTGCTCACCTTGTGGTGTGTACTCATTATCTTCATGTAGTTTCCTTGTTTGCGCCTCCAGGGTCATATCATGGGCCAGGGAACCTACAAAGAGCTGCAGCGCTCTGGCCTGGACGTGGTGTCTCTGCTGAGAACTGATGAGGAGCAGGAGCAGTCTCGATCAGCTGATCCAGAAAAAATGTCTTTAATCAGCCAGAGGACGAGTCTGTCACACAGTTCACACTGTTCCAACAGCAGCCTCCTGCCACCAGAGAGCAACGGTCCTGAACAGCCTGCTGTAGGTTTATTCACACAGAACATCAGGTTACATTACATACATTTTATGATTTGCTTTACATTTTCCATCTCTTTGTCACTTTGTTTTCAGATTTTGCTAATTAACACATTTCATCCATTTTTCCTTTAAATATTTTTTTCTACCTTATTCTCCTGTCATTGTACACTGCTGACTATGTGCTTCCTCGTCCACTTTTCATATACAGCAACATGTGTTTAGCAAGCAGAACATTAGTCTGTACGACATGTTGCATGATGGTGCAGATAAAGCGCCCACTTAAAACATAATTTGTTGAGTTTGGCCTGAGGTAGCACCCAACGATAATGTTTTGCAGGTTGAAACAGTCGGGGCCTTTGAAGAAGAGAATCGAGCTCAAGGAAACGTCAGCTGTCACATTTATCTTCAGTACTTCACTGCGAGCTGTAGCCTCCTGGTTTTAATTCTTATAGTGCTGCTCAGTGTCGTTGCAGAGGTAAGGAAGCTGTACTACAACACCTGGTAATGTTAAACTGAACACATTAATGAGAAATGAAATCGATAAACTGAAATAAAATGTAAAAAACACGTTATTAATGGCAGTGTTTCTTTCTTATTTGTACTTTCCTACTTAGGTTTCATTGCTATGAAGTGTTGTAGAAAGATTTACAACAGGCTAACAAGATAAAAGAATCTCTTGACTTGACATGCTGACTGACCTTTGTGTCCACAGGCTGCATACGTCCTGCAGGACTGGTGGCTGGTGTACTGGTGAGCTCTTCATTCAGGTTTAGTCAGTTTAAGTAGTTTTTCAGTGGTAGCTGTATTATGTGGTGTGTCTGGTCTGATTTGTTTGTTTTGTCAACCAACAGGGCAAGAGAGGAGTATTCTAACAGCACAGCCACTGCTGTTAGCATAAAGAATGGAATTAACGTGACTCGCTCAGAGTTAAATCTCACATTTTATCTTGGCATTTACTCAGGTAGGCCTTCTATTCATCTCTGAGTGATGACTCTAGAAAACACTTCATGTTCAGTAGCTTTCCCTGCTCTACAACAAAAAGAGAAAAGTTGCTCTCCAGTTATCCTGCTGGCTTTACCTCCAGGTCTGACCGGAGCCGCTGTGGTCTTAAGTTATGCCAGGAGTTTGATCATATTTCATGGGCTGGTGAGAGCAGCTCAGATTCTACACAACCGCATGTTCAATTCAGTCCTCTGCACACCTGTTCACTTCTTTGATGTCAACCCCATAGGTGAGCCCTGTTTCGAATTATTTTCAGTTTCATGTTCATCATGTTGCTTGAAAGTCTGTGAATCCTTTAGAAAGTTCTATATTTCAGCATAAATTACCAATGACCGAAAACAACATACGTAACGAGTATATAACAAGAAACCAGTGAACAAATGAGACAACATTGGTGTATCTGGTCATTTGTTTATGAAGGAAAATCATCCCGTGCGACATATTTATGAGTGGCAAACGTATGTGAACCTGTAGGAAGTAGTAGTAGGGCATCCTGTTTTATTGAAATGACAGGAAAGAGTCGTCTTCATGATGTTGTAGTGTTTCAAACCACCAACCTTGCGATCAGAGGACAACCGGCTCTACCAGCTGAGCCACAGCTGTCCTGGTTTATAAGAATTTAGATTATTATGCCTGAGGGGGCAGTCAGGGAACCGTGCAATAAGTCAAGTCAATCTGATTTGTATGCCGTGATTTACAACGTATGTGATGTCAAAGGAGAGCAGATGTAAACGAAATGTAGACTGAAGATAAAACAAAAGCAGGCGAAACACGTCTGGATGTGAAAAACCATTGGGGGGGATATGATTGTTCTTCAGTGAGGCTGCAGATCAGATTTGAACTCAGCTTTAAAATCTGCACGAATGTGACTCACAGTGTCTGCTGCTCGGGGCTGCAGCGTGATCATCGGAAAGATCTCAAGGCAAGACAGGCTTATCTGTGTAGCACAGTTCATACCTGAGGCGATTCAAGATGCTTCACACAAACCTGTAAGAAGACAGATGAAGTCAAGCTGGGCTGCATGGTGGCACGGTGGTTAGCATCATTGCCTTGCAGCATGTTCCTCTCCATGTTCTCCCCGTGCAGCGTGGGTTCCCTCCGGGTTCCTTCCACAGTCCAGAAACATGCTGAGGTTAATTGGTGATTGTAAATTGTCCGTAGGTGTGAATGTGAGTGTGCTTGGTTGTCTGTCTCTAAGTGTAGCCCTGTGATAGACTGGTTACCTGTCCAGGTGAACCTGCCTTCACCCTGAGTCAGCTGGGATAGGCTCCGCCCCCCAGTGAGGATTAAGGTGTAGAGATGATGGATGGAAGTTCTTGTGAACACCATCATGACACCTTTATGTTTCATTACTGTTACGATCCAGCTTCTAGGATCAGCTGGATGTAACAACAAACCAGATGGAAATGGTTCAGCAAAGCAATTTATTGCTCAGTAACGTAAATGAACATAACAGAACGGTAACAACACAACAGGAGATGGTGGATGTTGCTACAAATCAAAGAACCAAACAAAGGCTAACGAAGGCAGCAGACAAAACTATGTTATACTGACTATGTCAAGTGCAGTGAGATGACATAAGTGGGTTGTGGATATGCGTTATATAAACAAAATTGAACTGAGTATTTATTGATGTCTGTAGTCTGAACATAAAGGATGTTTTAGGTCATATTTATCCAAAGATATGGAAAATCCTAAAGTGATCAGGAGCTTTCAAGCAGGCGCACCAGCATTGTTTAAGTCATTCAGTCAATAAGACTTAAACAATGGACAGTATATCCTATTAAATACATACTGGTAATCTCAATGTATTTATGAGTTTAAACTGTTCACCGACATGCTGGTAAAATGTGACGGTCTCCCCGTGCTTTAGGAAGAATCCTCAACAGGTTCTCCAAAGACATCAGCCAAATGGACTCCATGCTGCCCATCACCTTTGTGGACTTCTATCAAGTGAGGAACTCCTCTTGGTGGGACGACCCCACACGCTGCCTCTGCCTTAAATAGGACTTCAGTATTCCTCACCTTGTGATGGTTTTTTTCTTATAGTTAATTCTACAGAATGCCGGCGTGGTTGCCGTGGCAGCCGCAGTCATCCCTCTTGTCCTCATCCCCGTTGTCGTTCTGCTCATAATCTTTCTGTACTTGAGACGCTTCTACCTCAGCACATCACGCGACATCAAACGTCTCGAGTCAACAAGTACGCTCATGGATTGTCCTCATTATATCATGATATGTATAAAAAAAAAACTGATTTAAACTTTACATTAAATGACTTTGGCCTGTCCTGCAGCTCGGAGTCCAGTCTTCTCCCACCTGTCCTCGTCTCTTCAGGGTCTGTGGACAATCCGAGCCTTCAGGGCTGAGGAGAGATTAAAGAAAACCTTTGACGCCCATCAGGACCTGCACTCAGGTTTTATGTTTCTGTTGCATCTTCATGGTTCACATTTAGACTTTACATGCTGGTGTGTAAATATTTAGCAACGGTAGACCTGGAATAGTGATGATAAAGTATATTTTCTTGCAAAGTGCAACACAACAACCAGAAGATATGCAGGAGTCATTGTGAGGTGTAAATAAAATTAGAGTTTTATTTTAACAGTGCTTCAGCAAAAATGTGCAACAAAGGTTCACAAAAGACAAGGAATAGGACGAAGTGGTGGCCTGACGAACTCCTCTCATACCACAACACAAACCCAATCAAAAGACCAAAGTTCTCTTCAAACAGAGCGTTGAAACAAATACACAGGTGGCACCAACCAATAGCCCTCATGTGTCTAACAAAACCTCCTACGTGCTGCATAATGTCAGGAACCCAACTTACCGAACATCCCAATCTCACCACCACAGAAACGTACTTCCACGTTTACAGCAAACAAAACACGAGTCTCACAGACAAAGCAACATGCGGTCAAGCTGGCAGCTCTGGTTTTCAGCTGCAGCACACCACCCCCGATTGGCCAGCTCCACAGGTGGAGCCCAATCAGGTCATTAGAACCTGGGAATGAAGCAGAAAGGAGGGGGAAGGAACAGAACATCACCCACAACCAGCCCTCTGGCCCGGAACAGTGCTGCTGATAGGATGGGAGTTGGGGGGTCTTGGCTATTTCTCCAGACCATGAAGTAAACTAGTATCTGCAGTCAGTGAATGTTGATAAGTCGGATTCATTACTCCAGCTTAAAGTTCACACACCACACTCCAAATATTATTATCTGGGGTCACCAGCAGATTAATTTAAATAAAAACTGCCAGTAAGTCAGAGACACACACAACAACAGCAGCAGACCATTATTTCCAATCAGACTCACATAACCAGCCAACTAAAGACACACATGACGTGTCAGAGAGGCAGGCAGATGTGTTACTGCCACACATTGTCATGGCATTAAAGGCATAGACTGTCTAATAATCTAGATTTGTTTCCTTACTTTGTCTATGGGCGGCTGTGGCTCAGGTTGGTGGACGTGTCATTGGGCAAGACACTGAACCCAAAGCTGACAAAGCTGACACCATGTTTTAGAAATGCTACGTCTATTACATCTGTACAGGAAATAGGAAATATAATGTTTATGATTCCAGGTGAGATAAGCCACAAATAAATGCAAATCAAACTGTTGGTTTCTTCTTTTCTTTTCTTCAGAGGCGTGGTTTTTGTTCCTGATGACCTCCCGCTGGTTTTCTCTTTGCCTTGACAGCATTTGCTCCACGTTTGTCTTCTTTACAACGTTTGCCTGCATCATCCTGAGAGACGGTGAGCAGCTGTGTTTGTCTTCTGTTTTTGTCCTGGTGTTCACTCTTGCAGACAACAGCAGAGCGTTTGCTGAGACATTTTAGAGGTAATTAAAGCTGATGGGCTGAGAGGAAGCTGCATATTGTTAAGACACTGTTATTCTACTGCAGTATTTGACAACAAAGATTCCTTCAGCTCCATCAGTGGCATTTGCTTGGTGGTACTGAGACAGGTCTGACTGTGAGCTTTCTGAAGGACAAACTACAGACACTGATCAGCTGAAGAGTATTTGTGTCGGCCGAGTCTGGACATGTGTTTGTCCAGAAGCATCCTGGTTTCGTTAATTCTGTGTCGTGTGTGTCAGGGCTGGAGGCCGGAGAGGTGGGCCTGGTGCTGACCTACGCTGTGACCCTGGTGGGAAACTTCCAGTGGACAATGAGACAAAGCGCCGAGGTGGAGAACATGGTAAGGACGGAGCGACATTTAATTAAATATATTCTTTCATGGGACTGCAAGGTGGCTCGACGGTTAGCATCGTTGCCTTGCAGCAAAAAGATCCCCATTTAGGACACTCGGGATCCATCCATCATCTCTACACCTTAATCCTCACTAGGGTGGTGGGGGGGCTGGAGTCTATCCCAGCTGACTCAGGGTGAAGGCAGGTTCACCTGGACAGGTAACCAGTCTATCACAGGGCTACACTTAGAGACAGACAACCAAGCACACTCACATTCACACCTACGGACAATTTACAATCACCAATTAACCTCAGCATGTTTCTGGACTGTGGGAGAGGAAGCCGGAGAACCCGGAGAGAACCCACGCTGCTGCACGGGGAGAACATGGAGACTCCACGCAGAAAGAACGCAATGTCCTAACCGGGGATCTTCTAGCTGTGAGGCAACGGTGCCGACCACCGATGATCTCTATGATGAAACCAGTGTTTGCAGATGATGAATGGACAGATGCATTTCCTTGGCGCCAATTAATGGTTATTCACTAATTGGAAGGTCTGCGGTTTGATCTCCATCCATCTTCGTATTGGTTGTCTGGGCGAGACATTAAACTCCAAGTTACCTCCAGTGACAGGCTTTTGGTCATTAGTATGCGATTGTGTGTTTGTGAATAAGTCAATGAGGAACTTTGTGGAGCCCAGCTAAGGTTAAAAAGCTGCACTAAGCTTACTACAGCAGACGTTCGTACACCCCTCACTGCAATGTTTAGTTACTTCATTGCTTCATTATTGCAAGAGCAGTAAAGTTGTTACACCAGAGTTAGCGAGCAGCTAATTTGCATCTTCTGTCCCTCGGCCAAATGAAAACCTGATGAGGCTCCACAGCAGGAACTTAACTGAAGTCAGTACACCTTCTATCACTAAGATTCAAATCTTTTATTTTTCCAATGCTCTATAGAGCCACTGGTATTTATGTATCTATTCTGATGACGGTGGATACCAGCGTCTGCACATTTCTGCCATTTTTTCAGTTGCTCTGTGCTGTCGGGGCTGTGTTGTAAAAATATCCCAAAGGATCCAACTTTAACCACGTTACTTCACTGCCATCACAACGCAGTGCGTAGTAGTGAATAGCAACCACAACAGTTTGATAGCTTTTGGCCACAGAGCAAAGGTCTGGCTAAGAACCAGAATAGTTATTGTCTATTCTTGTTTATAGTTCACACACATTGGATATTAACCACCACCAGGAGCTCCTCAGCCGAGGAATGCAGGGTGCAAACCTGGTTGTGCACTTCAAATCAAATCACATTTTATTGCCCGTTTCCCCTTAAACAGTCGTGCAGGCAAGATGAGATTCTCCAGGATCCAATAGCTTCAGGCAACTAAGTTAAGACAACATGAATGAATCATCTAAATACTGAAACTATAACTAAAAAATTCTGAAATTAGATAAGGTGCAGAAGTGTGTGCATATCCGGATCAGCTTGCGGACTGAAGCGGTTCATGAGTCTGGAGGTTCTTCCTTTAACGCTCCAGAAACGTTTGCCTGATGGCAGCAGTTCAAACAGTTCATGGAGAGGGTGTGAGGAGTCCCTGACGATGTTCAGAGTCCTGCTCCTGGAAAAGTTCTTGGACAGAGGCGAAGGAAACTCCGATGCTCCTCTCAGCTCCTCTACGTGTCCTCTGCAGGGCTTTTCTGTCTGGAGTACTTCATCTGTCTCCTGCATTGGATAAAAGTCGCTGCTTTTCAGCACAGTGTTCGGTCTCTTGAAGAAAGTTTGTGATTTGTGATAATGAGCTACGTTAAACACAACTGACCCAATGTAAACATAAGGCCCAAAAAGCAGAACTCAAAAGAACCTTTTGTCTTTGTAGATGACCTCTGTGGAGAGGGTGGTGGAGTACACACAGCTACAGAGTGAAGCACCCTGGGAAACCCAGAGGCGTCCTCCCCCTGACTGGCCGAGCAAAGGCCTGGTGACCTTCGACCAGGTCAGCTTCTCCTACAGCACGGACGGCCCCATCATCCTGAAAGACATCAGCGCCACCTTTCATCCCAACGAGAAGGTAACGCATCTCTGTTCACAGACAGGACACAAAGAAAGTCTGGACCTGATCGTCATATGTTCAGACAGCTGACTGTGTCTGTCTGTCAGGTTGGTATTGTGGGCAGAACAGGTGCTGGGAAGAGCTCCCTGGTCTCAGCTCTGTTCCGCCTGGCAGAACCTCAGGGAAAGATCTCCATCGATGGTGTGGTGACCTCTGAGATCGGCCTCCATGACCTGCGCCAGAAGATGTCCATCATCCCTCAGGTAGTCTGACTCACCGAATGCTGGTTGCACATGTAAACCTGCCACTAGCTGCTCATGTCACTCTGCTTTCGCTGTCTGTCTGCTACGTCTCCCTGAGAGACGACAACAACAACCTCTGAGCAGCAACCTATCACGCTGCAAATTTCAACTTTTGGTGAGGATGTGGATCGTGCAGTACGACAGCCGTGCAAGTTTTTACTTCGGTGCATTATCCATCTGACTGACAGTGTTCGCCTGCTTGCATGCAGATGTTTCAAAACAACTCCAC